TATATATATATATATATATATATATATATATATATATATATATATATATATATGTATATATATGTATATATATATACTCGCGCTCGCGTTCGCGCGCGACTTGGTCCAAATCACGAAAGATACATATGTACACCGCAATACTTGACCCGGGAAATGCAGGATGCAGACCGCGCAGGTCGCCAATTAAATCGCACGATGTAAACGAGGCACTTACGTAGCCTTCGAGGAGGAACGCAGTCGCGATCGTGTAACGAACAAACAAACGAACGTACGAATGAACAAAACGGCGCTATTCTTTTCGGATAACGAGACGAGACTGCTGTCGCGGCCGTGACGTACGATGCGATTTGTAAAGGTGACGTGAAAGAGAGAGAGAGAGAGAGAGAGAGAGAGAGAGAGAGACTTGTTTCGTCTAAATAGGGTGAGGCGGACAAATGGCACATGCTCCCCAGTGTCTATCGCTGACCGTCACCGACTCCTCCAGCGCTTTTCACGCTCTGTACACGTGTATGACGCACCTCTCTGTTTCAGGCAGTGAACGATTTGGTCACGGAACTGGAGCAAGCGAATATCACGTGCTCCGCCACCATCACGTTCGCCGAGAACGATTACAAGGAGCAGCTGCGAACTTTGAAGGTAAGTCGCGCTTAAACGTCGCCCTGTTCTTTCTATTCGCTCTTTTTCCTCTCTCCTTTACCTCCTTCTCCTCCATCTCCTCGCTCTCGTCTGCTCTCCTCTTCTCTCGACGACTCGACGACGAGCATTTGTAACGATCGCTTCGCGCAGTTAGATCCGGCCGGAAGGTCGTGGTTCAGCCGGTGGTTCGCGAAGCGCGGCTGTCTTTTGATCGTAATTCGCCTCCTTTGAAATGCAAAGTTCGTTTTCGCGAAGTGAACACCGCCAAAGTATCGATTGGCGCGATACGGACGCATCGAGATTGAATTTGCACTCGCGGCATTAATGTGTGCGAATTAACCCAATTTCGGATCGCGCAAACGAGCGTTTTAGCATCGTGCTTTAGAGACCACTGAGACTAAAAAGAGAAAAGGAAAAAGAGAGAAGAAGAAAAAAGAAACTCTTGTTTACATTTATGTCGTGAAGGAGGTCGGAATGAAATTTTCATTTGGATTAACATGAAACCGCGACGAAGAAGATACTAAAAGTGCTACTGCCGCTCTTGCTTTATTATTATCATTGGCGAGTGTAATCAACGTTTACCGATATCAGTGATGTTTTATTAAAACCTTAACCCCTGCAACAAAAGGTACGCGCAGTGTATCAACCCTGTTGTTTCGTTTAATTGCAGGAACTGGACACCAGAATCATCATTGGTAGTTTCTCGACGCAACTGGCGCAACGTGTTTTCTGCGAGGTGAGTCGCAAAAATTAATTTTAGTCCACGAGAATATTGTATTCGGGGCGTGTGCAGGTTTTATAATTATCATGAGAGTCACATCCCCTCGAGTGAACAGAGACAAAACCACCACCGTAGGCGGGCTGACGTTCGCGCCGTGATAAAGAGCAGCAGCGAGCGCGTCCTTACGGGCCAATTAATGGCTAATTAATGGTTTTTAATGACTCTCATTACAACTCGCGCAATCCCGCTCGTGAAAAACTCTCGGTCGCAGGTTTCGGTTATCCATTCATTTCCAAAGTTTTCACATTCACATACACACACACACACACACACACACACATACACACACTTGCATCGCAGTTAGAAATACTCACGATCGAAAAACAATTTTGTGGTTGCGAACTGCGTTCGTCGGTAGCATTCGAAACGAGGTTTTTATCGGCATGCAAGAAGTACGGTAGAACGTAGCCAGATAAACCTCCCGGACTCGTTGCATTCCCCAAGAACTTTAACGCGCGTTTTGTTGCGCGCCCGGCGACTATAAAATCCGTTTAAAAAGTTTAACTTCCCGGCGCTCATACTTTCGAACGTCATTACTTATTACCTCGATTAAGTGTCCCGTAGCGACATTATCTGCTTTGTCTCTCCTTTGGAATTACTATTAGCAAAGAGGTAAGGGAATGCCGCTCCCGCAAGTTCCGTGGCAACCAAATGAGATTTCTCTCAGACTCTCGACGAAGGGCCGCGCGTTAATATCGCAATTACGCGACCCGGCGGACGCGTGTCAGCGATAAGTGCATGTCCATTCGATATTTTCGTTAGATCGTTCAGTACATCGCCGAACTCGAAAGTGTGCTCCCGCCGTCAAGTATCACGAGTACGGCGTGATGAATTTTTCGCTAAAGTAACGCATCCATCACGCAGCTATTACGGCTTGAATTTATGATACCTATTCAACGACAAGGATCCATCCATGTGCTCTCGTCCATCGGACACGCAGCGCACCGACGATTTTCTTCTGAACATCGCAAGAATAAAACGTTCGGCGGTCTCTCCCCAACAGATTTCGGATTTTTCCGAGCACTTAAAGCGGTTTGACGGTGATTCCTCCATTTCTTGTTCTTGCGCAAACGCCTGCAAAACCGAGGTGGAGAGAGCCGAAACTCTTCTACGCCCTATTCCACGGTGCTCTGAAAATTTTCGCGAAGCTCTTTGACATCTCCATGTTGAAGCGTTCTCGGTTTCTCTGCGGATCTATAGCGGACTCGTTTATTCACCGTACTACCGCCATCGGCGATCCCTTGCGCCACCATTCATCAATTGGACAAGATGGCACCTCTGCTTATCGCTCATGTGTAACTGTGCATGCGAGTGAAATGAAGGCGGCATCAAGTGTATCAGATAGATGCTATCAATAACCATAAGAGCGCATAAACATAAGCACATAATACCGTTGCCGAAGTAGGACACAGAGTTTACCTTCCCGCTCCCACACCTACCCTTTCGTTCCTCGTGTTATTTGAGACCATGGCGCATTTTGGGGAACTTGCGAAGCCTTGTTATGTCATGCGAGTTTTGAAGCACATATCCGGTTCGTATAGTGACAAACATGCAGATTTGCCGGATTATATATACGAGCAAATGAATTGACGCCATCAATCGCGGGAAGGACTTGGAACGCTTTAAGCCGGGCTCTGGCACTCGAGGCTCTGCCGTAATTTACCTCACGTACTTTGGAATTGCATTATCACACAAATAACCTGGTGAGGATATGACGCACGTTATGTAATATTGCATAATATATATAAAAGTTTATTAATGTGTCTACAACATGTAGCGACCGTAATTAAATTGCGAAGCGAGTATGAAGGCTACGTAAATATGAGGTTGCTTTAACTTTGATGATGTAAATAAGTATGCCGCGAAACTACACGGTCACTACTTAGAAAATGCTGACAGTTTTTCACAAACGACTGTGTTTCACTGTCTTCTTATTATGGCACGCATGCAACGACCCTGCTCTCCCGTGGGGCTCTTCATAACTGCAATTCTTCGCTTATGGAATACACAGCTGTGTGACGGCAGCTGTGTGTCCCATCGCAAATGCACTTTACGTAACGTTGGCAATTTGATGCGAAGCCAAAGAGATCGAACTAAGAAGGGATGCGAAAAGTTTCCTAATGATGAAAGCATATAATACGATTGTACACATTTCGTCTCTGAGCGAGGATGAAAAACTTATTTTTAACAATGAGAGTTAATAGTTGTTTTCTGTCAGACATTTTCCGCCTGACCTTTGTCCCTTCGTTACCTCGACTTTGGATAATGAGTTGCTTCGATCCGCTCTCGATTCACCTCCTTAATTGTTATTCTGTGACATTAATTGAAGCGCAAAAGAGAGAAACGGATATCAAGTTTCATCCGCAATATTTTTTTCAAGAGTCATCGAACTGTGATCTTCTCCACATCAAGTTCCACGTGGGTACATGCGTGTACATGTCAAATTTCCATTTATCTAATTCCTGCATCTAACACTCGTAGCATTAAGTTGAGATTGCACGTAGTTTTTTGCTTTCTAGATGTATACATACTATTTATCCCGTACAATACATTACCAAGGTTGCAATAAGTCACTCTATTTCTCTTATATCTCCGTCTTTCCTTCCACTAACCATCCCTTCGCAAGCGATGCTTTAAATCGTGCTGTTTGGTGTTCCAAGATTTTACGGTTTATTTCCCGAGATCAACCACATTGTTTCCGCAGCTGCGTACCTGCGCCAGATTAACTTGTATATATATCTCGAAATATTTAAAAACTTCTCTCATCTCGCGATGACATTTGTGTTCGCGTTTGTAATACTACTTCTTCATGGCTAAATATTATCTGTATATTTAGATAATACAGAAAGAAAAAAAGGGGAGGGAAAAGAAGTCGGCTTTTTGGTTCTTAGTATTTATTAAATTAAACGTTCATTACAGTTACAACTGCCCGTCATTCCCATTATTTCAAAAATATCACATCCATCGGTAAAGGAGATAAATCTCCTCGTCCCGTTAATCGTAAATTGCGATGATTCTCGTTCTCATTTACGGGCACTGCGCAATGCGCTGTGCGACCGAAGAACAACCCATTGTATTACAATACGAATGTGTGTGTGTGTGTGTGTGTGTGTGCGTCCACGTCAGCGTCCAGTGAGCACGTTAGCATTGAAATATATCGGTTTGCTTCACAGTCTCTCTCTCTCGAGTGAGCATGTAATACACGTGACATCTTACGTGAAACACGTAACACCGTGAACGTCGACACATAGCTATTTCCCTACGGCTGTCGCAATCGCTCCCACGCAAAATCCTATCGTCACGCACGAGAATGGTTCCACAGAACGTATGAATATTCAACCGTGATTTGACCCACTCTTAAGGGGGATGTCAAAATTACGCGTGACGACGTTAACATCAGAATGGAGTTCTCGTATTCACGGGACGCATTCGCATATGTTACCACGCAAATGGAGAAGCTCGGACGCGGTCCTGAATATCCTTCCCATCAACTAATTACACACACATACACACACACACATATGTATATATATATATATATATATATATATAAACATAAGCCAAGCTTGGAAATGAATTTCCGGATACGTACTTGGGGGTTGGAAGGGACGGTATCTCGGATGATCGTACCGGCGATCCAATAATGTGATCGTCGCCGTTCGCAAATAGCACTTACGTCGATATTATCGGCGCTGGACCACGCTTCCCTCCGAACGACTCGCCTCTGATCGTTTCTGTGATGTTTAATATTTCCTAAGTCATCCTTGCGCCGTTTGTTAGATGGGCTAAGGCACCACCTGACTCTCTTATACTGTTTCGACGCCGTATTATAGCGAAATAGGGCGCGGAGTGAAATACGACGAAGCGCAAGATCGATATCTCGTATAAATGTTAGCGGATTGACGGAATTGTTTTTATATACTGCAACAAAAAGTGATCGTATATCGTACTCTCTAAAAAAATATTAAAATATTCGCTACCCCGGCGTCACACATGTGTGACCCACCCTGATCTCTCAGCGACCAACGTCCCATATGTGTGACAAAAGGGAAAATTATCGCTGTCGCATACACATGGTGATCTTTTTTATTTCTTTGCTAACATAAATAAATTAAATTTACAGAATTGTGCAAAAAATATAGAAAATATAAGAAGAAAATATTATAGCTTTCTTTTTTATATAAATTCTCTTCATTTTTACTATGTTTAATGCAGGAATATAGAGACTATCAATAAAACTTATCTTGCTAAGTAAAATTCGTTAGAAACATTGAAAATTTTTTAATAGCACTTTTTAATTCCTAAGATATAACACATGAAACAAAAGGCAAAAGACAACAATAGCATATAAAACCAAAGAACATAGTCAATTATCACAGATGTCGATCTATTTCTCGGTTAAAAGATTTTATAGCGATTTTTACTATAAAATTCTCCTTGTGTATAGTATACGAAAACGTACGTGTATACGAAAACAAAAATAAAATAAAAAGTATTTAAAATAGAGGTAATCTGTGGGGAGAACTGTCTAAATGAACTGTGATAGCGAACGTGTCAATGAATTAGCTTGCATTTCCTTAAATATCTCTCTAGAGAAATTTGCTTCCGTACGCGCCCTATATGTAGTCGTAGTTTATAATACTGAGATAATAATAGTATCTTCTTACACGTGCGCAGTATCTCCTTGATCGTTTCGCTTCATTTTGATAACGAATCATTACGATCACGTTAGGCGAGGTGCAACGTATTAAATATTATATCGTCTCAGCCACATAACCGTAGCCGTTGGTTTCGTCGTAAATGCCTCACTACGTGAATCGTAATGTTTAATGCAATTTGCAATTTCCACAACCATTCTTTTATGATAATAATACAACGTGTTACCAGTCTGTTATACCCGGTGAGGTTAAATATTCTTCTACTTTCTCTCTCTCTCTCTCTCTCTCTCTCTCTCTCTCTCTCTCTCCGGGGCTCACGCGAGATAATTATTAACGAGTCACGTTAAATGCACACGTATACGATAGAATTTTTATGTCGCGGAGATTTGTTTTCACGCGCGCTATAACGTCCCGTATGCGCAATTTCAATTGCGTTTCTCTCCTCTTTTTTTCCCCTCTCTCATTTGCATCGATATTCGCCGATGACGTGTACGTACACTCGTTCACAGAACGGTTTGAAAATTTATTATTTTTCGCTTCTCGTTGCATTTTTTTCGGCAGCGGACCGTTGTCCAACGAGAGAATTTATTTTTCAATGATTTTCAGAAGACGTCTCTTTTCCTGTTGGATAGATCTCCTTGTTGGGTGCGTTTCAGGACGCACCGGGAACGTAAGTGTCGAAACTCGTTTTGCGAACGAGTGTACAAGTGTAACGAGGGCACAATTTTCCAGCGGGACGGACAAATCTTCGTGTGTCGATCAATCGCGGCGCAGGCTAAGCCTAGGCGAGGCACGTCGGAGCTGCGGTTTGCCGCGAAATCCGTCCATCCCGTGTTGAGTGACAAGTTGGCTCAGAAATTAACGGATAATATTGTAATTCAGGCATCGTAACCGCGACGCTGATACACGTGTAAGAATCGATCACTTCACAAGCTAGCCAAGCCGTATATCGCCACACGTGCTATCACCTGCTGTCACGTACAACTGATACGATTATTAATTCAGCGGCTGATTAAATCGCGGCCGTACGACTATCGGAAACGCACTAGCCGGATCTTGATCGCGATCAAAACGGTGAGGACGCGCGAAGACGAAGACAAGGGAAACGGGATCGTCGCTCTTTATCAACTACCCTTTTAGCGATTATGCAGGTTTCCTTTTTCTAACGCAGTGTAATTTCCCACTTTCCTTACTGCCGCGGTGCTCTCATGATGTATTATTATCGAAAAACCCTATACCTAAAGGTAAAACGCGGAAACATGCATCTACCTTCCCTGGTCCGCGCCGGATCACAAATAATCCCGGCCATTAACTGCGAGCGCGGCGCTTAGCTCTAGGTAACATCTTTTTATTGCCACTTTTAGTATACTGCCTGTGTAACGCGTCTGTAAATAACACGGGAACCTGATTTACGAGCCTGATACTCCCAACATTTTGTGTTAGATCTTTTGAGAAGCGTCGATGCGTCCTTCAACACGTTCACGTCACGTGTCAGTCTTTCTCCCGCAAGAAATCGCTACATGATTCCCGAAATTTTTATTATACATACAAAGTGAGGGTGTATTAATATCATACGAAATTCGACTGTTAACTCGTTGGAAAGTTGGTCCAATGATTGCAAACAATTGAAACGCAAGTAATAATAAGCTTTTCGAGAAGATTTAACGCGTTCGCTACGTTTATTTAGAGAACTCTTCCCACAAGAGCCACTTTGTATTCCTTTTTTCTTTCAACATAATGTAAAGTAGACTTGGTTTTATAATATGGACATAGAAAAAGAAAACTTTGCCGTCACACATATGTGATGTTGGTAGCGCGAACGTATTAATTGGAAGGCTAAACGCTATGTCTTTACAGCGTTTTGAATGAAGTGGACTTGCGGTTCGAAATCGGAGGAGTCTGAGAGAAATCGACAAAGAAGAAAGATACAATTTATATAATTATTTACAATTTTTGTAATCATTTATGACAGGAGATAGACAGGATTTTAGATAAGAAATCAAAATGGAAGGGTATAAGGATTTAGAAAATGAAGTTTATGCAGCAACAAGGCACAAACTGGTCTTGAACTACTATTGCATCCAGACTCTCAATTGTGCTCACAATGTACGTATTTAATCGCGCTTACAGGTGATTACAGTTGCGTCTCTCGGGAGAAATTAATCGATTGTATCTCAGAGCGCGCAAAACCGCGCGTTATGGAGGAGAAACACGCCGGCCGAGTACAATTTCATAACGACGACCTACTTCATGCGCCAACTTGACCAGTAAAGCGCGAGGAGGCGATATAAAATGCCTTAGGCAGATATAACAATGCTCAAAGTACATCCGGCAAAGCTGTGAAAGCTGGCAGAGCGAAAAGAGAATTCTGGAGCGGAAGACAGTGCGCAAAAGATGCGCCGGAAAGGAAAGGTAACGAGAAGACGAAGAGACACATGACAGGATATATTTTACAAAGACGTGCCGGAGGGTTCGCGAACAACTTTCTTCCCAGAGTCGTTTCTCATTACAAGGGACATCCGGACTCGTTACACGATTGTCATAAATATCTGCCGGGAGTGATGACACAATCGCGTTGACCTTTCCGGAGGAAACTTCGCGAGCTCGCGATTTTAAAGGTCCGTTTGAGGGCAATCGCGCGGACTCTACAATCCCGTCACTTATCGTATCTCGGCGAATCGAGCAAGTAAGCCGATGCGATCGTATCCCTCTCGCGTCGCGTTTTCCTGGACAATCTTGGTTGCGAGCTGTGCGACCGTCCAGCCATTGATCGTGATAACGTCATGTTATCGACACAGCATTGCTCCTGTGCACCTATTGTTCGCCAACGTGCAAAACCGGAGGATGCTTCTTCTTTTTTTCTTTTACAACGCATGGTTTAACATATTGACTACCGAATACAAGTTAATTCGTAGTTCGAAAAGCGCTTTTCGCGCGCGAAAAGCGCTGCTTTAGACAGCCGAAAAATAGGTTCTTACAAATCCCTTTTTTTCATAAAGATGAATATAGATATAGGATATCTATATGAATATAGATATCCTATATTGATATAGGATTTTCACTAAATTATTTATTATTATTTTAAGTATAAAAGAATTATTTTTTTACTTAAAAACTTGAAATTCTGTCGTTTATGTTTCTCGCGGAGCAGGTGATAGCACATGTGACGATATACTTCGCCAGCTTGTGAAGTGATTGATTTTTACACGTGTATCAGCGTCGCGGTTCCAATGTCTGAATTACAATATTACCCGTTAATTTCTGAGTCAACTTGTCACTCAATACGGGAATCACTTTCAATTGGTTAGGACAACATTACAGCTCGTGTAGTAAGCTTAAACAAATGGGATCAGAAAATTGTATTAAATTAAAACTTCTCTTTAATACAAAAAACTATATTAAATTTTCTGGAGGATAAATCTTTATTATGTGCAGAAAGTCGAAATTTAACAAACTGGCGGCATTTTGAATTTGCATTTTTCCTCTCCCTTTCTATCTTTTTTTTATTTAGTTCTAAGAAAGATATTAATTTTTTAAATTTTTCAATAGGTTTTGGTACATCTTCCAGCGAATTTAATATAGTTTTTTAAATTTTCTTGTTCCGTTTGTTTCAGATTATTGCACTAGATTATTGCACTAGAATGTTGTCCAATAATTAGAGGTGTCTGACGACGTCGCGTTTAGCATAAAAAATTTATACGATAGAATTCCAATTTTTTAAATAAAAAATAATTCTTTTATATTTAAATAAGAAATAGGGTGATCAAAACCTTATATTAATATTTTCATTCATGTCTTTAAAAAAAATTCGCAAAATTCTTTTATTACTTAGCTACCTAAACCAGAATCTCCCCTTAATTAGCATATTGAAATAATACCTTGATTTTTAAATGGTGTCGGGAAAACAAAATTCCCTGATGTAACTATTAACGTTTTGTTAACGCATTAATTCTGCGTTGAAATCTTATTGAATACTTAATATTGAATACTTAATATGTTATGCTAAATATCGGATTCGGTTGTTTACCTGCGAATTGTATGGAAGCGCGGTCAAGTCTACCTGTCACAAGCCATATATCATCTTTCTTTCATCGCAGGCTTGGAAGCTCGGGATGCACGGCGGTGATTATGCGTGGATCTTGCCAAGCGACACAATCGACTTGTCGGAGGTGACGGGCGATCGGTGGCACGCTGGCGTGGGAGAGTGCTCGCCATCTCAGCTGTCGCAAACTCTGGACGGTTTAATCATCGTGAAGAGCCACGCCACGATTGTGGGAGACGAGATCAGCGCGTCGGGATTGGTACGTTGTTGCTATATCACGTAATTAATCGCGCCGGACGCGAACTTGGTGAATAATTGCACCGTATAAATAAATAAAAGAGCACGTTCAACCAATGTGCCGTATGCGCGAAGTAAACTAATTTAAACGACATACGCCGTACAGAGCCAGCGAGTTGTCCGCGTCTTTCTTTGATCTACGTGTCCTTTGATCAATCTAAAGTCGATTTACCGTGAACGAAAATTGCATTTAACACTTTAATAACGTCCGTTCTGTTTACACCGTTTCAATGAAGCCTCGCGGGGCGTGCGTTCGATAAGAGGAAAAAAGAGAAAAGGAAAAGAAGTAAAATGGGAAGGAAAAGAGGTAAAATAGGAAGGAAAAGAGATTAAATGGAAAGAAATTGACGGTTGCGTTCCGGCCATTACTGCTAATGACAGCGGTAATTGCAGAATTCTACCGTCCCATAACCGGAAGCGAAGATGCGGAAGGTTAATCGCGGAGCTGTTGCAATAATGACCCTCTTGTTGTCGGCGATTCTGTTGCCAGCCAGCACATTGCCGCCGCCACCGCCGCAACCGTCGCCCGCTGTCTCTACTGCAGCAACCTAACGCGTAATAAATGAAATCCCGCGAGCGGAAATTAGAGTATGCAGCGAGAAGAAAGCTGCGCGAAGTCCCACGTCGCGCTATATAGACGAGCTCACCTTCCATTCTGTTCCATTAGAGGCCCGTATGACGTAAACGTCAAAGTAGAAAGGGTGATGCAGGTCGGACAGAGGGGAAGAGGTGGCATAGAGCGCGCGAGGGCCGCCTTTCACACGTTGAGCCTTCTATAGCTGGGTAATCAGTCTAATGACGAGCCGCCATAATCGACACTCGCGTCAAAGTTGCCGTCGATTTTCGAGCACTCTCGGAAATAACAACGTCGCGAAAATAGAGACGGCGCCCCGCGGGGGCCGCCGTCGAGCTCGCCGCGCGCGGATTGTACACGTCTCGCACTTTTCACGTCTGACCGACGTCTTCCAGAATACCAATCCAATATAGATCTGTCCCGGAGCACACGACGTGGGACGCTTTCGTCATGAATAATTTCACGGCGCCCCGCGTATCCGTGTAATTCCTCATTCCAGCCGCGCTGATAAAAATATAAGGACATTTGATACGGGGACTTTTATGACGCTATTAATAAGCGCGAACGTGAATAGAGGAAGCGTAACCTTTTTTGATAACTAACTTGAAGCAGGAGGAAAAGTGCTATTAACGAGATTAAAAAATAAACTGCTACTAATTACGCTATTCACTCGGAGTACCGAGTTGCGAATCCTCCTGATGGGGCAAAGCGTCCTAAATTGTTCATAAATCATAGTCGCACGCGCAATATCGGGATATTAATTAGAGCGACGTGTACAAGGGGGTGAATTTGAGATTCCTTCGGGTGTGATGGTGTGACTGCGGGGCATAGCGTCTGAGATCTCACGTTTTCTCGCGCGCATTCCGCGAGTTAAACCGCTGAAAGACTATTTCAAGTATCCCGAGCAACAAGGGGGAAGAAAGATTCGACGTTACAATTTTCCCCTTCGATGCACAGTTCTCAAAGTTCCGCTCTGGAATGGGAAATTATAAATGCGAGTGTGCATACTGTGCGACGCTTTGGCGGTGGTTATCCTGAGTGCTTTCGACTCGCCGAACGAACTTGGCGCGATATGCAGGCTCAAGTGTGCTGATTACACGTATTAATCTATAATAAAGTGCGATTTGTAGCCACTTGATTAAATCCGCTGCGGCAAGTTCGAGAGTGCGCTACCTTTATTGTTGCCGCACGAATTGGTTTTAACTAGAGACGTGTGCCAACCAAGAATTTCTGAATCGAATTGTCGAAACTTCACTTTTAATTAAGAGCACCATTACATGGCCAACCGTGGAATATTAGAGTGAATAATTTTAAACTGTGGAAAGATAATAATTCTAATTTTAGAACTCCATTAACTCCTCCTAATTATTCAATTCTGGATAAATTAGTTTTCTTTAATCCTTCTGCTACAAATTTTTTTCTCAAAGATATAATTTTTTTACTTCTGCATCAATAAATGTATTATTTTATACACACACACACACACACACACACACACACACATATATATATATATATATATATATATATATATATATGTAGTTTTAGTAAAAAAACTTAAAATCTCATGTTTGCTACCAAAGGAATATGGGCGAGACACTGATGATCCACTAGGTTCTTAGAGAGGACATATTTGTTCTAACGGTAATAAGTAGAGTGTTAGCTGATATGTTCTAAATACCAAAAAAACTGTTTGTTCAATTGAATAACGTTGTTATTGATGATGGAGAAAATATGTGTCCCGCTGGTAGTAAAAGGGTTCCTCGGGGATTTGGCAGATACATGGAGAAAATGTTGTAGTGAAAATTACAACGAAGTCTTTATGATCGTGGACTATACAGAACTATGACTAAAGTTACTAAATGTTTGTTTAAAAATGTTTGTTTTTTTACTACAAAATTATTGTAATTATTTAAATGTTTTTTATATTCTAGAGTAGATCGTCAAAAGATTTACTATTTCCACAATAACTTATATTATTACAATTTCAGTATAGTTCAGCTTTACAAAAAAGCATTGAAAAAATGAATTTAATTTTAACGTAATTTTTGCTACAATATTTTCTCCGTGTAGGGGAATTCAAACATGACTTACTCATTCTTATTTATTATAGTCCCACTTTTTCAGCATGACTCTCCAAAATCGTCAATATGCGGAAACCTATATTCAAATTTGCGCAACACGAAATTTTTAATAATTAGATATTAAGGATTTAAATGGAGCTAAATCTCACCTGATTTTATTAAATTTTAATTAATTTAAATAGTTCACATATCTCCAGTTTTGACAAGCTTCATCGAGCCGCGACATTTTTCTCGTCGATTCGACTCACGTTGATTCACGTTTTACATCAATTCGAATAGGTTATTAAAGACTGTAATTCATTCTTTTCGCATGAATACTTTACTGGCACATCGATGGCGAAATGTCACATTAACGAGAAATGAAAGTTCCTTTTTCCCTACACGCATACACACACGCGCGCACACGCGTCATCATATCCTTCCTTTTTTTGCCGAGTGAACGGAACACGTGCATCGTTGGTGCGAACGGCAAATTAAATTAACGTTCGCTCGCCCGTCGATTCAAACGCGTTCGCCGCCTCAATTTTCTTTTTTCCTTTATTTTTTTTAATTATACAACGAAATTCACGCGAACGTTTCGCGAGACGCCATCCGGCCGGTGGTCCGTCCGCCTCACCGTCTCCTCTCCGTTCATTTTGCAGACGAGCGCGAAATTCATCTCGGAGCTGGCTAATAGAGGCGTCACGTACTCGAAATTCGCGGGGCAAACGTACGACGCCGTGTGGGCCATGGCGCTCGCCCTCGCCAGGACTGAAGTCCTTCTGAATCGACAGAACGAGAGTATGGCGCGGTACACGCACACGAGAAAGGACCTCACCTACCGTTTGCTGGAGCAGCTTAAGCTGCTGCACTTTATCGGAGTTTCGGTTAGTCGGGACAGTCGAAGGATAAGTAAGGCACCGAGAGAGAGCGGCTCGCTTATTACGCACGCCCGCGGAAAGCCACGGGGGAAGTGGAGTACAGTCGAGTCCTCGCAAAGCCGGTCATGTAGGCCACATCCCGTAGCTACCCGCGTCTTTTTCGCCCGCAGATCCTTTGATTAACGCAGTCTTTTCGAGTCGAGCTCTCCCTCTGAAGTTCCCTCTCTCTTGTCGGGCCGTTAACGATCGTTCAAGTATACGTGATCGAAGCTGAAGCGATTGAGGTAAGTTTGAGGCCGAGTCATCACGAGCGTTGACTGCGGCCTTTTCCTCTTCGCGCAGCGACGGACTTCCGTCAAGAGAAGAGAGAAAGCTCTTCATAACGCGCAGTTCTTCCCGAACGAGGACGACGTAACGACCCTATTAGTTTGCCCAACGTAGAGTAAACTCGTGGTCGGGGGAGGTACGCCGGAGGTTTTAATAATAATAATGAAACTCTAGTTGCTTTTAATATTTAACGACTTCAAACACGGGGGTGCGCGCTTTCACGACAGCCGGTCTGCGTTATACACTTGTTCCCGTTGTGTTCGCAGGGGCCGGTTTCCTTCGATGACGCGGACCGCGTTGGTGTCACAGCATTTTATCAGATGCACGGTAAGTCCCCACGACAAGGCGTCGAGGTCGATGTGTGTCAACCCGGTCAAGTGATCTCCACCTCCGGTATTGGGATCCACGTGAAAGCCGCGAGAAAATGTACAAATTTCGCGAATTGATTGGCACGAACTAACACGATGTCGGAGGATGATTGGTTTAGCGACACTTGGCGCGATATACGCCATTGGTTGACACGAATCGAGGCTTCACTGACGAATCACTGGCGCATTTCGTCGAGTGTTCTGTTTCTCTCTCTCTCTCTCTCTCTCTCTCTCTCTCTCTCTCTCCCTCCCTCTTTCTCTCTGTCTCTCTGGACTTTACGCTTCATTCGTTTAGCTCCACTGTCAACAACGGTATGGAACGTACAGTGAGTAAGAGCTTACGCTACGGAACACGATGAAACGATACAGCCGCGCTGAAAGCGCTGACAATAGCTCGTTTCTAACGATGCGGCATATCGTGTATCCCTCTTGTTGGGAATAACTGGCGCGTGGACGCGCGGATAATCCAATTTATGAGTTTTCTGCCTGCAAGCCGCGTTACGTGCCTAGTATCCCGCTAATACGAACTGTTTACGGGCATTTCCGGGCCGAGCTTTAGAATCTCGATCCAACAAAACGCGGATACGTGACGCCACATAGAGCGTCATCGCGCCGTACGTGGTCCCACCTCGAATAGAAAACGCAACCCTCCTTCTGAAAGTTACTTTGCGTGCCGATGTAGCGAATAATCTCCATGATCCTGCGAAAACGAGATTACTTATCCTTTGCTTTGATATGGAGAATCCGAAAGATCAATTCCGCTGTCATTGACGCCTGGCAAATTGCCCCAATATCACACTTTTGCGAACAGTGATCTGGTGTCTCATGCATTTAAATGAATGTCAATGACAATCACGTGCCTGTGCGTCGAATGAAATATTAATATCAATGACTCACTATATAATTTACATATGTACACGGAGGGAATATTATAGAATTCTTTCTTTTCGTGTAAATTATTTTCAATTTTACCATGTTTTTAGTTGTGCAACGGAATAAACCGTTAGTAATGTCTATCTTGCTAAGAAACAATAAAGTTCGCTGAAAATATACTTTGAAATGAAACAGTGAAAATGTTTCTGATTGCATCATAAAAGATTCCGTGAATATTCATTGATTTTCAGTAAAGGCACTTCCACTTTACTGCTCCGTCTTATATCTCACTGATTTTGATCAGTGCAAGTAATATTTCACTGCGGAATTTGTGGTATACAAATTCGTGTACAGCTATACCAAATTTCTACGTTTGTAGCGATGAAATTGACGGTTTGTAGCTCGTGTAATGACACTGTATGCGTTCGCAAAGTGCATTAATAATGGGAACAGTTGTCGATATTAACTGGTCCTTTTGGCTTCATTGATTGCAATGCTATATTCATAACTAAACCGCCAATTATAAATACAGCATTTGACCGAATAAGATATTGATTGCATTTTAGACAACAGCACATTTTTTTAATAATATATTCAATACTTAGAATATAAATAACGTATGAAATGAAAAGTCAATGATGAAATGAAAGTCAATCATTGTATGCAGAATATCGATCTATTTCTTGTTTACAAAATTCTATAGTGATTTTTATTGTAAAATTCTTTTCGCCTGATTAATTTATATCTGATACAATATCACACATTATCGCCACTGAGCTGAATAAACACTTTCAATTGACGCAGGTAAGCACGGTGCATTTATAAATAATTTCGTAAACCGAACGGTGCGTCCACAAACAATTGTCAAAATTATATGGCAACGAGATACAAAGGTAATACATACGCATAATAATAAACATAATAAGCTCACGCGAAATGCTCACAAAAATTCTGGGCTTCTAACTTCAACGAGGCTTTTTGCTCGCGGAGGCGCGAACAGCGTAAAAATCGTCGTGTGTAAAAATAATCGCGCACACAGTGAGACAGCAATCGCATTAAATTAAAAATTAAAGTCTCCCCTTTTATCGTTAACGTCACGTTAACACTGTGTTGGCGCTCACCACGATATTCGCACACAAGGTAATCCGTAATAAACATTAGCGGGGAATGCCGCGCAGAAAGTGATATTTCGCACACCTATGCTTCAGCCCCCGATCGCTCTTCTCGTGTCATTTCTTCCCTCACGTTCTCGTTTTGCGCATTTGCACGCGTGTCCCGAACAGGAAATTGCGTTCGTTAACATTGTCGCAAAATTGCTCAATTGCACGCGCGGACCGCGTGAATCTCGCCATTTCGGCCCCGCAAATGAGATCTCTCACGATATATCGTGCGCGCAAATAGTATTAGCCGCATTTTGCAGCGCGCATCGGAAGGGAGTCCGTATGTGGACACCCGCCACGGCAACCGACTCGCATTTTTATTTCTCTTTTTCATCGCGGGCAGATAAGCTATTTTCTCTTGTTTTTGCCATTTTTTGCCCCGCTGCTCTCTTGGGGGTTCTGCTTTTTTGTTTTGCTCTCGCGTGACTTGATGTATTATATCGCTCGTATTCGCGGTATCGTTGGTCGGAACACTTCACATATCGTCCATAAGAACGATATTCTTGTATTTTCTGGAAATATTGCAGAGCGAAACGTTGGATTCATTATCGCTTATTTATCGCGAATTTTATTATTAACCGGCGAGAGAGAAAGATAGACAGCAGGACTCACCGTTGCGTCGCAGCGACGGCAAATCAGCGTGAAAACTTTCGGTGAAATTTCCATTCATCCCCTGCAAGCTTCTAAGAGGGAATCACGTGGACTTCAGCAACTCCCTAACTCGACGTAGCTCGACTGTGCGACTTGCTAACTTCGTTCGTGAAACTGCCATTGAATTATAAAACTGAATGCCTCTCACACTTAAAATCGCGACCAGATGTCTCTTGTATTCTATATTGAATTCTTATTTCGTTTCTCTCTCTCTCTCTCTCTCTCTCTCTCTCTCTCTCTCTCGTGTTTTTCGTTGCCGAATCAGCATAAACAGTCGATCGAATGCAGAAGTGGCAACCACCGCGAGCCTGTGTTGTCGCAGGTGTTGGTACGCGCATGCGATAGTAGAATTCGGAAATTCGCAACGCCTGTACGCCGTACGCCAAACATTTTGACCCACTTCGGTCTCTTCGGTGGCACGACTGAACTGACAAATCAAATCAAGATTAGGTATTTACCATGCGTGACGCCGTTCAGTTTAATTATCGGATTATTCGCCGCATGCGACTCAGCGAGCTATTTAACGTTTCCTATTTACAGTTAGAATACCATAATGCACGAATATTTCCTGCGTAACGCGCAGAATAGCTAAACCCGTGTGTATCGATCATTTACTTTATGTCACTCTCTGAGTTGGATCAAACGCTAGTCAATTAAACAAGCTTGTACCAGCCGAAACTGTCGGACGTGAGTGAAATTTATCGCTTGCCAACGTTGGATGTTGGCACGTTGCTTGTTGGCCGGATCGGGATGAGATTTTAAACGCTTTTTGCATCATTGTCTGAGTTCGCTCTCTCGCCTCGCGCGATATGGATTCATAAATCTCTCCTGTTATAATGTAACATAAATTTATAATATTATATACACACGCACACATGCACATATACCTTTCTCCTTAAGAAAATGGATATTGTGGTTTTAGGTCGAGCTCAATACACACACGGTATTACGTGCATTATGCATTGCGTTCTGAAAAATCGACGCACCTGTTTTAGCCTCAATATTTAATTGCAATCAATCATGATCACGTTAAATGCACCGGGGGCCTGCTCCCTATAGGTTTCCAATATGACATTAGCTCTCTTAACACACTCAATCGTTTACTGTGTGACAACTCAATATTGGAAATAAACATTACACACATTTTCTTTCTCTCTCTTTTTCTTTTTTCTTTTAATACTAAATACTATAAAACGCTACTGCGTGCCATTGATATATGCCTAAATCTTTTTTAAATAATATTTTTAAGTAATTTCGCAACCAACTAATACACAATTTCTCTATGATAATTTTTCTTATTGGCAATCAATGTGATTCACATCTAACTTTAAGATCTTCTATAGCATACAATAAAGTTATTATTATTAATGTTATTATTATTATTAAATGTTATTATTATTAAATTATACGCTCAAATTATACGCTTATCATTTTATATTAATTTCCAATAACATCCAGCTAATGACTGAGAGTCTAGTATTTTACATTATTAAATTGAGCAGCATTGAGAAAAAAGAAACAATAAGTGTAACTATTACCTATTAATATCTACTAATTTATCTATTAATTTAACTTTGTTATGTCGTAATATTAATATTATTTTATCATATTTCATTTCTCTTTAATCCCTCAAGAAAGTATAATTTCCGCGATGATAGCCACTTGCGGCAACCGTCGAAGTAAGCAATGACTTGCATAGAGAGATCGATATTTCTGATTAGTGCTGAGGGAGGAAAACAAATAGGGATGGAAAGAATGGACTGAGAAAATATACGAAAACAGATTATCAACATAATTCATTTCCCAAAATAAATTGACTAATATTTAGACGGAAGTTTATATATGAGTCCACGCCGTATTTATTTGCGTTGCAATAATATTTCCCAGCTCGCCTACCATGCGTGCACATAGATGCATTTCGCAAAAATTTGCACCCATTCTAAGCGCACAGAAAGATTTCGCGGCACGGAGGTAATACGAATAAGGCAGTTGTGATAAGAAAATGGAGTGCCAGCCGCGAATATCTGTGGGTAGCAGCGGCTGGTTCCGCAATTCTTTCGACGCATGAAATCCGTTTACGCTATAATCATTGCCCGGCGGCCTTAAATTCGCGTGCATTAAGACACCGCCGCGGAATTTCGATAACGTGGCAGAAAGAAAAGCGATAAATTGCATATTCAGCTAGTTTTTTTTTTGCGAACGTTGAAGCGTCGCCTATATCGGAAAACACGAGAAAAAAGTAGGAGAGGAAGAGGAAGAGAGAGAAAAAGATTGT